TCTTCTTAGAATTCTAAGAATCTCCTTTTACCTTGTGATGCATCAAGATGACAAAAGGATAATTTGAGAACCAAACTCATGGAATAATTCTTGTGTAGATTAGCTGCTATGTTAGTATTTACATTTACATGCGTGTGTGTGTTTATATGCACCATAGCTGTGTATTATATACCATCATCACTTCAGGTTGCCTCCAGTATTAACTGCCCAAACTACAAATCCTACTTTATTAATGTATAGGTTAAGTCAATATTTTTCAAGCTTTTAAAACAATATTTTATACTCTTAACTCCAAAATGTATGTTCTCAATTAAGGTTATTTGAAATGCCAAAATAAAGTGAATATTGTGCCATATTAAGTTAAGGCAGTGGAACAGAACACGCCTTTGTTTCCATACCTTACCTCTTTGGGAAAAAAATCAATGATTGAGTATTTGAACCAGGATTACCTAAGGGTAGTATCTCTATCCTGGTTTAGAGCCATTGTCCATTCTACTTAACATTTCAGTTATAAATTTCCATGCCTGTCCAGTTCCATGTTGATAAGCCTGTAGATTAATACATCCATTTAAAAAGTATTTATTGAGGGCCTACTGTGTGCCAGGCAGTAATTTTGGTTTATTGGACTCAAAGGTGCATTAACCAGATAAGCATCCCTGCCCTTCACACTACGTTAATCAGAGTTGAGATGCTGATTGTTGGCAGCACTCTGTATTTCTGCTGGCAGTTTCACAGTATTTGGCCTTTGCAGAACCAGTTTTTAAAAAATCTTTATTTCTTCTCTTGATACGTACAACATCTGTACAAATGATAATGATACGATGTTCCCCTCACATAATTGCTGGATGAAAAAAAAGTCTGCTGCAGAATACCTCCTAACCCTTCCTAAATTTTTGCAGGAATAGAATAACTGACTACTCATATAGAGTATGAACTGCCTTTGGAATAATAATTAAAAAAAAAGACTTTCCCCATTCCTCAGAAGCCTGTTTCTTTCATCCTGTTTAGCATATATCCTCATTACCCAACACCTGTAATTAAACTTATGAGTTTTGTTGCTTTGATGGATTTGGTTGTTTATTTATTTTCTTTTTACTGAAATGTTAATTATACTATCAGCCTTTGTAAACAGTGGACAATTATTTATGTCCTCTTATTTGGCTGTAGTTAACTAACTTGTTTTGAGATAATAAAATAATTATTAGTTCTCATCATCCTCTATGATGACCTGTGCCCTATAATATGAAACCTATACTTAAAATGTTAGTATAATTTTTACTTTTGAACATCAGTTACACATTATGACCTATATAACAAATGTATTTCATTTATTCACATTTTTAGTGTATCTTTTCCAAATTGTGAAATTCACGAGATAAAGGAGTTTGTTTTGTGCTATTTTGCAGTATAATTCAAAAGACACTTGTTTTATACTTAAGCTTTGCACAATGTAATTTTTTTTCCTTTTATTTAGAAAATAATTAAATGATAGTGTTTCTTTTAGGACATATCTTCATTTTTGTTAATTAAAAGACAGGCGTGTAAAAAAATGTTAACAAAGAGTTCCAAGTAGCATATTAGAAAACTGAATCTCTTTCTCGAGTTATCAACGAGTTCCTAGAAAAAAAAAATACAACAAAACTAAACCACCTAGTAATTGTTCACTTCATCTAATACGGTTCCTTAAAAGAAGACAGTTCAAACTCTCTGGGAATGTTTGGGTGATGCTCCTTTCTCCTCTCACAACAAACCTTAAATAAATTTGTCATCCAATTTAAAAGGCTAGAAGAAATTAGAAAAAGGAATGTTTGTAAATGTGAACTTTTATCCAGAATGTCGTGTTTGAGTGTCTTGGCTTAAAATGAATACTGCCCTGGCACACACACGTCGTGTTGCTCAGCACAATGAAATAATCGCCCTTGCATGTTCTACATTATACTGCACACTCCATGAGAGCAGGGTTGTGCTCAGAGCCCGGACAGTCCCTGGCATAGACTTGGCAACCCTGGCAACCAATCCACATGTGTGAATGTGTATCCACATAAGAGAGTTCAAATTAACCTCCCCAGCTCTGGTTTTGACTTTTCCAGTTTCTTAATTTCCTTTACTAATTTAAGTTTTTTGGGTTTTTTTTCACTTATATAAGTGACTTTTTAATTCTTAAGTGATCATTTGGTATATAATCATCATATACCAAATGATCACTTAAGAATTAAAATAGTCATTGATGGTGATCATTATCATCGCTGTAATCAGTAATCAATGACAGGTTTTACTTTTTTTTTTCCTTGAGATTTAAGTTACTAAAAATAACATATGCTTATTTAAGTGAACTCTGTATACTGAAGTGGTCATATATTCTTTGTTTATTTTGAAAATTAGCTTCTTGCTTTGTCTTTTGTTTTTAAATTTGACTTCTGTCAAAGAAATACACACACAGTTTTTTTAAAAATCAAATGAAACAGAAGGCTTATTATAATGAAAAGTAGCAGTCCTCTGCCTTGCACCTTTCCACTGCCCAGTCCAGCTATACAGAGGCAGCAAGTTTCTGGACTTTACTTCCATAATTTTAAATGATATCCTTATTGCTGTTGCTTGAGTCACCAATTTTCGATATTAATTTTGATTACTGAAAATGGAGAGACTGTTGGGAGAGAAAGGCATATAAACAAAAAGGTGAAATAAAATCTAAGCTGATATATGCTACACAGGAGTTCTGCACAGAGTGTTTTGGGTCCATAAGAACAGCTTGGCATTTTAGGCCTTCTGAATTGCTTTCAAGAATCACTGTGTTGTTTGTACTTCCATCTGCAGTAAACAAGACAGTGCTCATCTTTCTACTTTTTTGCCAACACTGGGTAGAATCCAGCATTCAAATTTATGCTGTTCTGATGACATAAGTGGTATCTCATTGGTTTTTAATTTGTATCTTCCTTCTAACAAGTGATTTTGAGCATTTTAAACTATCTTTGATAGCTCTTTTGGCTTCCCCTTCTAAGAAAGTGCCTTTTTAAGTTTTTTGCTTATTTTTTCTGTTAGTTTCCTCTGAATGTATTTTTTGATATTGATTCCTTGTTGGTTTTATGTCTTCCCTCAGTTTATCTATGAAATTTATCTGTGGTATCATTCACTGAAAAATTCTCCTTGTCATTTAGCCAGATCCATCAATTTTATGACTCTTTATGCTTTTTAGGTCTTGTTTCAGAATTGCTTTTTACTTCTAGTGCTCATAAAGAATCACCAAAATTTTGTCTAATCACTTTGAAAAGATAACTTTCACATTTAAGACTCCTTAATCTACTTGGAATCCAAATTCGTGTATGATGTAATACAAGGAACTAAGTTTATTTTTTGCCATATTCCGAGACTGTTTTTCTTTTTCCATACAATGAGACAGCACCAACCATTTCTTTTGCTTTGTCTTATCATTCTTATCATACATAAAGTTCTCATTGAAATGTGAGTTTATTTCTGAACTCTCTATCCCTGTCCCTGTGCCTGGCTTTGTAGTATACCCTAATATTTGGTAGAGTGGATTCCTTATCTTTGCCCTTCATTTTTGATTTTTACTTTAATAATAATAGACTTTTTATAACATATACTTTAAAAAGGGGTTCATAGATTGTCTTTAAAAATCTAAAATTTATAGATTGATTCAGGAAAAATTGATATGCATGAATATTGGAAAGGGAAAATAAGCCAGTATGGAATTAGAAAATAGCTTAGACTACTACATTTTGATAAGAAACCTTTTTCTTTTGGTGGCATGTAGCAGGCAAAAAATAATTATGGAAGAAAAACTGGCACAAGGAAAGTCAAGGGTGGAGCCTGCTCCTATGCAGAGTTTTATCATTAAGAGAAATATGGAAAACAGAAGCAGTAGAGAAAGAATGTTAGGCTGTTAAGAGCAGGACTTTGAATTACCGTAGTTTTTGTGACTTCAGGTTACTTAATACTTAAGATTAACTAAAACAGTGGTTTCAAGTTATTCTCTGAGGAATATACCCCCAAGGTATCTGGGGAAAGAATAGTGATGGCACTGAGTATTTGGGGTCCTGATTCAGCCCGAATGTTTCATTTTTATCTGCTTTAGTTAAGTGACCTGTAACTAATATTGCATTGGAAGAAATAAATTTTGGCCAAAAGTGTTTGGAAATGACTTAAATAAAATTACTGAAACATCTAAATGTTCAACAAATTTGTCCTATGATGTCATTCATCACTTTCAATGCCTGTGGCAGACTGTGCTACTTGAACACAGTACTCTTTTCTGTTTCGGACTCAAATGCAGTCTTCATATGGCTTTTCATATGGTCCCTGCCAATCAGTCAGGGTTAGTTTGTGAGTCAAAAGCCATTTACTATCTATAAACTATGCTAAGTTCTGTCATTTTATTGGACCTTTAGAACCTTTTAGCCTGAGAAAGGTACGACCTAATCTTTCAGATTAAAGAAGTAAGAGACTAGAGAAGAGAGTAGTTAAATAGGAAATCGGTCTGGAAAATACAAATTCAGATGAGTATTAAGGTAATAACACATTGTGATTATAAAGGGAAAATGCTTACTACCAATTTGTTAATTGTGAAAAGACCTACATAGCTCATTAAGTATGTGTTGAAGAGGCAATTGAAATCAGTCATGTTTTCAGTTGGGAACCTTGAAACATAAATAGTTTTATTCCATAAATTACAAAATTTAATCACCAAAAGTTTAAACCTGACAAATCAATGTAAGAGCAGGAAATAAAATCTGCATCTGTTGCAGATGCGTCTAGTGCTGTCTTTGTGGTCCTTGCTTTGCACCAAAGGATTTAAATTCTGCTAAATTAAAATGTAGAAAAACATTATACACATTTGAAGATTCACAAAGCTGTGAGTGCATCAACAGTTATCCTTACTTGAGGTTGACCATGTTTTCTGTTCTATGAAGTCACTGAAGTAATGTGACATAAAAGCAAAGTTAATTTTCAAAGCAGTGACAATTATTTGTTTCTGTTAACAGGGCTACTGTAATGTGATGCTGGGATTGAATTTACTTAGGACTCCATTTCAAGGTTGACTCGAAAGTCTTGTGGAAGATCTGGAAGAAATAGGTAAGTGGCCTTTTGGTGATAAATCTCTTTTGTTCATTTTACTTTTTTTGTTTGTTTGTTTGTTTGTTTTTCTAATGTTTATTTTGTCCTTTAATTTTTTGGTTAAATATCTTTGCTGAAAGGTTAAAAAGTTCCTCGGTGAAACTAGAGATGTATCAGGTGTGGCAACAGCAGCTTTTACCACTGTCACTTCTCCTCGCTGTGCTCCTTCCTTTTAAACTTGGTCTCAGTTTGTTTTTTTGAAAATTAACACGAATTTTTGCAGAATGTGAATTTGGTTTTGAAATAGTGAAAGGAAATGATCAGGCAAGAAAAGCCCTTGAAGTATTTTCTGTTACCATTATGCTGGCCTTTTATACTGACGTTTTTAATATTATTTTGTTAAGATCTAATTGATATTGAGATTTTGGGGAGTTTGTAGAAATGTCAAAAAATAAAGAGAATAGCATACTAATAATGATTTTTTTTTTCTTGAAAGCTTGATTTTTTTTTTTTAATAAACTTCCAGACCTAGCAAGTCTACTGCTTAGGAAGCATTTATTTTCTTTTTAATGTTGTACTTCTTTAAATCTAATGGCGGTTTTCCTTGATATTTACAAGAGCCATTTAGAGAACTTTAAATCCATTGTTTGGTATAAAGTAGGGACCATGGGGACAGCATGAGATACATTTCCAAGAGATGCAGATTTTATCTCCCACTCTTACTCAATATATAATGTTTCTGTAAAACTAGTTTTTCAGTGTCGTTGTTGACTATGGTATCATCATCCAGTATGTTATAGGTGGCCAAATCTATAAAAATATAACTAGAAAAAGGAAACTAAAAGGTGATTCTAGATGAAGAAGTTGCAACACTTCTCTCACTAGTCTTACCCCTTAGAGAGAGGGGAAACTGTGGTGCCCTGGCTTCTTCAGAATTCTTTCTTTTTCTTGCTGACCCCATCCCAGAATTCTTTATTCAGGGAGTTCGCCTTGATACGTGTAGGATGGGTCTCAGGACCCTTTCTGTGAGACCTGTATTGCTCTACGCATTTCTAAACCTTTCTCTAAACACAGCTTCCATATCTCCCCTGAGAGATTTTTTTCAACATGCTGAAATATTTCTCAGGTATGTTACCTACTGTTTTGCTGATGGACTTCTACTTGTTTTGTGCCAGCTTTATCGTTTTGCCAGATGTACAAGCAAAATGATTACGCATTTATTTCACATTTAGGATTTTGAAATGATTTAGCAACTTTTTACATCATTTTACACTTTCTTTAAACTCAGTTTTACTCTGGCATTGCTTATGATGTAAGTAAGGCTAATGTTATTATCCGTTATTTGGTAAGTTGAGAAACTAAAAGGCAAAGGAATTTAAATTATTTGGAAAACATAGCTTGTTGTAACTTTATAGCTAATGATTATTAGATGTTATTAGAGCCCATGTCTGCTTACATCCAATCTTCTTTCCGAGGTCATGTGATTTATGCTTACTATAGACCATGGTTATGCTGATATAGCCCCTCCTTGTAGACCTTTTATATGTAAATTCTCATTTGTTAAGCAGTGATAGAACATTTGTCTTAATAATAGCAGGAGCTTTTTAGATTTATTTAGATTAAGATTAAGCAGGAATTACCTGACAGTGAACATCATGGAACCACAAAAAAAAAGACTTTTAGAAAATAGTGTTTTTCCCAGAAAGGTACATAATTGTGTATGTATGAAAATACATAGCTATTTTCAAGAAATACTAGTTTTCTTCTTCCCTTTCCACTCTTCCATTCCCTTCTCCGAAGAAATCCCTAAAATGAATACTTGGTTGAATCTTCCTATTTTCAAATAATTGTCCCCATTTTACCTCTCAGAGAGGTTGCATAATCTGCCCTAGGTTATACTTGTCAAATGGAAACTAAAATGTTTCATAGAGCTTCTAACTGAGGGTATTTGTATATATGGTTAAATGGTTAGTTTGATGAGTATGTGTGTGCATTCTACTTCACAATATTTACTATTACTTTCAGAGTTTCCATTGTAAGAACATTAAATCCAAATAAAATACCAGTTATTTCAGTGAAGCAGAAAAAAACTTCATTCACATACTCACAGGAAGTTGCTGTAAATTTCATAAATACTTACTAAAATTAGCCATCATACTTGACGAAATCTTTGCTCTGATTTTTAAATTATTGAAAAGTAAATGACCTATGCAGGGAGATGATTTGGCTAAAGAGGGACGGGCTGGGCCAGTGATTCTGATACATGGTGTGCTTGTGTTTCTTGGCAAAATGAAGCAGAATGAATAAGACTGTAAATAGAGAGGCTGTAGGGTATAGATGTTGAGGACATAAGCTTGGAAACCAGATTGCCTAGGTTTGAATTACGGTTCCAAAATAAACCTACCATATATGAAATCATGTGTCATGTAAACTCTCTAACCCTTAATTTCTGAATCTAGAAAAAAGAAATGATAGTACCTACTTCATAGAGTTGATTTGAGGACTAAATGTGTGAATATATATAAAGGGCATAGTAAGCATTTTTTTAAAGAAGTTAGTTGTTGTTATCTTCCCTGTTATATCAGTCTTGAAGTTTGCATTATTCAGGCCACTTGGTCAGTGTCCTGCATGGCATTCTAACTTTGGTCCAAGAAATGGTAAAAAGGAGTTAATTTGCATATGTGCTCTCTGTGTTTTGGTTAGCATGTGTATTCATTTTTTATTGCTATGAGTATGTTAGATATTTGAAAGCTTAAAACAACATACATTCATTATCTTAACAGTTTCCATGGGTCAGGAGTCCAGGTGTGGCTTAGATAAGGGTCTTATAAGGCTGCAGTCAAAATACTGGCCAGGCTGCATTTTCATTTGGAGTTCAGGATCCTCTCCCAAGCTGACTGGGTTTTGGCTGAACTTGGTTCATAGCTATTGTAGGACTGAGATCCTCAGCTCTTCCAGGCCATCCACAGTTCTCATTGATGTTCCCCTCTCCCTATGCAGTTACCATCACAGTAGCTTGCTTCTTTAAAGTCAGTAGGAGAGTTTCTACTGAATGCTGGCAAAATAGAGCTATACATGTATGTGTATGTATATATATGTGTGTATATACATATGTGTATGTATATTAACATAACCATTGAAATAACATTCCATAACCTTTGCCATATTCTGTTGGTTAGAAGCATGTCACTGTCCTGCCTGCCTCCACATGAGGGGAGGGAATTCTACAAGGCATGAATGTGGGGGCCAGCCTAGAGTCTGTCTGCCACAGCATATTAAATGTCTTAATTTAAAACTCATGTAACTTATTATTTGAGGTTTTAGAATTATGTAATATTTAATAAAAAAGGAATATTGTCACTAATTGTAAAATTTAATTCTCAGTTGTTCTTACTGTATAAACCCCAACAGGCCATTTTTCCCTGCCTAATATTTAGCCATTATTTTAAGCCAGCTAACCACCAGACTAAAACAGCCTGCTCTGGTATTTCATACTCTCCAGATCTAACAGAACCCCAAAATCCAACATATTCTTCCCACTACACTGATATGTATATCTTGAACTAATGCTTTATACTTGCCCACATCTTTGTGAGTGCATATCCTATTTTTTTCCCTTTCTCAATGTCTTTAACTCATATTTACATCTCTGCCTCTTCCATTACACTCTTCCTGTTTCTTTCCTCCTTTTCAGCCAACCCAGGACTTTTGCTGCATAGTACTATGTCTATATTACCTGTAGCCTTGCGTACAATAGTGTCTTAAAAATACTCACTGAGTATATGCAATACCCCCTTGATTCCGAACAGCGGTCAGTTTGAGAATCACACTTCAAAGGATGTTCTTTATCAATTATCCACTCTTAACACTGACTCGGTAATCTCAATCAACTCTTAAATGACCTTTAAGAATCCAATACAACTTACATGCTTGGAACTGATTGCACATGGGAAGAATGTTAACAGTGAGGGTCCAGAGGGTAGGCTGTGGTAGGCAGCCTCTAAGATGGTCCTTAATGATCACTGTCTTCTGATTTTCATAACACTGTGCTTTTACCCCCATATTTACCAGAGTTCCTCCTTGTGGCTGATAGACTAGAACAAGGTGCAAGTGACGTACGTTGCTTTTCAGATTGGGTTATTCAAGATTTTTGAACATCCATGTTTTCAAAAAACATGGGTGTTCCTTCTTCTTTCTGTTCCTCTCTCTCTCCCTCCCTCCCTTCTTCCCTTCTTCCTTCTCTCTTTCCCTCCCAGTCTCAGGACTTTTTCTGAGGGAGACCAGCTGCCTTGGAGAGGTTCATGTGGTGAGGAACTGTGCCCTCTGGCTAGTAGACAAGGAGGAACTGGCAGTAACCTGCATCTTCTTAAGGAACCCTGAGATAAAACCACCCAGCTGAACTACTTCCAAATTTCCTGATCCTTAGAAACTTTGTGACATAGTAAGTGTTTTATTGTCCAAAGCATTTGAGTTTGGAGGTAATTTATTATATAGCAGTAAATAATTAATACAATATATAGTATCTTACCCCTAAAAGTTATTTCCACAAATTTCATTACTGTCCTGGGCTTTTCAGGGAATACAAGGGTTAATAGAATACTGAATTTATGGTCTCTAAAGTAAATGTAATGGTATAGGCATGCATGTTTATAAAAGAGTGAGCCAAGTGAGAAGAAAATGTGAAATGTTGAGATTTCACCTGGAATACTGAGTCTGTAATACGCAGAGGCCACTTGTACTCTCCTGCCCATAGATCACATCAGTGTTGGAGAGTCGTACTTCCTGAGGACTGTGTAGGTCTAGGTGCTGGTCTGGTATTGGTTTTTTTGTAGAAGAGCTGTTTGGAATTGTTTAAAATGCTTCTATAGAATCTGAGTTTGCAGAATCTGTTCTACTAATCAATCTTGCTAGTTTTGCATGGTTCTCCTTTTGTGTCTTTATAGAATTGTAAAGAATAGAGTTTCATGGGAGCATCTAGACATATGTACTGGTGCTATGCTTTGAAATATTAAGTTAGA